CTTTTCTTTTCTTTTCTTTTCTTTTCTTTTCTTTTCTTTTTTTAAGAGTGAGTGCTTATTCTTCAGTTCCTTGGGCTGTATTTTAAGTTGGGGCACAAGCATCTCTCCATTTTCCTACTGTCAAAAAGACTAATGTTGAAAATAGCTTCGGTTGGAAAAGGTGAGAGGAGGCCCTGATAGATGAAGTGACGGGTTTACTAGGATGAATCAGCTTGAAGTAACCAGATGACAAAGCAAGATTAGCCTGAGAATCTGGAGCCTTTTTCAGTTTTTACTATCTGGAGATGCATTCTTGGAGTTTTCTGCTTTGACTGGTTTTTATCTTCCTGGTTAATGTTACATAGGAATGGCAATAGTAAGCTTCAGTTATTATATAGAGCCCAGATTTATGTATTAATTTGAGAGGTTATAAATCAAGAAATTTCCTTGGGGCTTTGGTTTTGTGGAATAAAATAAAATAAAGTTTGATTTTCTGTACTCGAATTTAATTCCCTCTTCTCTTTTCTACCCTTAATACTTATAATAGCATTATAAGACATATCCCCTTCCCAGAGGTTTCTGAAGTCCTTTGGTATAAATTAAAGTTGACATTACTGAGTTGAACATTATGAAGACTGAAGTACATTCACATAGTGATGTGAAAATATGCAAAATTAAAATCCTGTACTTCAGATACATATCCATGTTGGAACACATTACATACCCCTGCTCTCCCTCTTGTCTCCCTATTATGCTATGCTATTTTGGCCTTCTGCTCTTTTCACGAGGTTTATAAAACTTGGTATTTAGAGTATACAGACCTTTTCTATTTGCTTATTTAATTGCTAATCATTCTTTAAAGCAAAACTGAAGTCTAGCCTCCCTCATGGCACTTTATCCTATGACCTTTAGTCAATATGTAAACTCTTCCTTCTTTGTCATTTTTAGCTTTTAACCATGTCATACAATTTAGCATCTTATTGCTTATACACTTACTCTTCAATAAGCTCAAGTTAGAGTATGGCTTTGTAGTCAGCCAGATCTAGTTAGACTGTTTGTACCACCTTGGGCACCATAGTTCTTTTTTGTTAAATGTTAGAAAAATAACACCTAACTTATGGCCTGTTTTAAGAAAACAGTATGTAAAACGTGAAGTACATAAATGCTTTAAATCCTTTAAAGTACATAGAGGAATCAGTATATGAAGGACTTAGCACCATGCCTGACATGTGGTTAGTATAAGTGACAGTTATTATGATGTTGTTTTATATTATTCTCATAAGTCATCTTCCATAATGGTAAGTTTCAGAAGAATATACTCTCTATTCTGTACAGTTTTATACGGCACATAACATATCAGATGGAATGTTTCTGGATATAGATGATGTAGGGGTTGGAGATCTGTGTGACAAACAAACAAAAATCCCAAAACTACAGATACCTTTTCAGAAAGGAGT